TTGGCTTTCCCAGATATTGTTTGAGGTGCACTTTTATGTAATTAAGAATACAATTTAGTACAATGCAGAGAAGAAGCACTGCAACTTTGAAATGACACAATTCCACTCTTTTTTGCACATGTACACATAATAGGAATGTAACATCACTTAAATGGAACTGGCAACAGAGTAGTCCATTCAGCAGCACTTTGGGAAAAAAATAATGTGCAATTTGGAACAACTTCTCACAAAAATGAACAGGGACCAGGCAACCTCTGTGCAGCTCCATGAAATGTATGCAAGGGTGAGATGCAATTCTCCCATTTGAAACTTGTCAGCACTGAAGAAAGCACCCTGAGGGAGAGATTAAGACATGTATTAAGGATAACAATGCTATAACAAGGTGGAACTTCAAGCAGCTGTGAGAGAGCTTCCTGCTGAAATGCAAATTTATTCTTTCTTGAAGAAGAGATGGGTTAGGGTGAGGTAGATGATCTGATTTTTTTTTTTAAAAAAACCCAAACCAGTGACCAAAGCTCTTTGTAGTGTATAGGGGCAGACTTCATAGAATTATTCACAGCAGGGAGACAGTTTAGCTTCCTTAGAAATAAGTGTATGTGCACATTCAGGGGTAGCTGTGTTTGCCATTTAGCAAATTCAAACAAAAATCCATCAGTGATACCTTTATTGGCCAACCAAAATGCACAATATACTTGTTGCAAGCTTTTGAAGTTCCATGTATGTGCGCATGTGTGTGTGTGTATGGGCATGCACAAAAGAGCATCTAAAAGCCTTCTGCTAGTATTTGTTTATCAGCATGAAGGGCTGTATTACACTTGAGAATGATTAACGTACAAGAGAGAAGAACTGAATTTAGTCTCTCAGTACACTTCCAGCCTCTCTTTTCTGCAGTTGATGTGCCAATTTCCATTACCTTTAAATTATGCTAAGCTGATGGTATCCATATGGTGACAAATGTTGAGTAAAGTGGTACAATGGAAAGACAGTAACAAGCTGCCTTCTTTTCCCTGTCCCCTGACAAATGCTATATAATTTGCAGTTGTTACAAAGAATTCTGGTGCTTTAATCATGAATAAGCTTCCTGCTGTGCAAATATACAGGGTTTCACTGCTAAGCTCTGGTGCTGAGCAAGCTTGAGGATGCAGTTGCATCCTTGTTACCTTTCCTAAAGTTTTCTTTGTCAACAGCTTTCTTTCTTTCATTTACATACAGCTGATAATGCTAGGAACTGTTTCTTCCTTGGTCACTTGTTAGCCAGATTTTCTTTTATATTTTTTAAAAAAACCCTCTTAGGGAGCTGACAGATAATGGAGAAACTCTTATCACAAAATCAAACCTCTGAAGAAGTAGGTTCAAGTCTAGGAAAGCTCGTGCTCCCAGCTTCTTTCTTTCAGTGGATCTCAAAGGTGCTTCAAGATACCTTTGTATACTGATTTTCCAGACTAGCATGGCTATATCTTTGAATTCCAGCAGTGCAATGTGAGTGTCCCATTGATGAATTTGGAGGCAGGTAGGTTTAAAGTGGGAGTCAGCATGGTGTAGTGGCTTGGGCATTGGACTACAACTCTGGAGACCAGGGTTTGAATCCTCACTCAACCATGGAACCCACTGGGTGACTTTGGGTAAGTCACACTCTCTCAGTCCCAGGATGGCAAAGGCAAACTGCCTCTGAACAAATTTTGCCATAAAAACCCCATGAATCATCATAGCTCAGAAATGACTTGAAGGCACACAACAACAACACAACAATGTTTAAAGAAGAGCTTGGAAAAATGACTTTTTTGACCTTATCTTCCAAATTCCCAGTGCCATCATGATCTTTATGGAGAAATTTGATACAGTGTAAAGGACTCACCCTTTTAAATAAAACAGTGTAGGTGTTTTTTTTTAGTGTTAGTGAAAGTGAATGAAGCAGATCCCTTCCAGCTGTGAAAAATATTCCCTAATTTGTGGATAATGCTACAGGCGAGTGGGCATCTTTGAGGCTCTTAGGGAAAAGCAGATAAGAAAACAGAACGTCTTCCAATCAAGTCAGTACCATAGACAGCTCTTGCTGTCTGCCCTCTTAACAGATACAGCTTCACCATAGTTTTAGTTTTGAAACCTTAGAAAAGCAGGCAAAGCCTGTTTTGCAGCTGTTCCCTGAAGGAGATGACTGCTTTTTAAAAATGGGTTATTGCTAGTTTTGTAGACCAGTACCCCTTTTCTCTTTATTCATGTGGGTACCATTGACATGGCCAAGAACAATTTTGAGCAGATCACTTCTGACTATGAAGTTTTGGGCAGGGAGCTGAAAGGGTTTGAGGCACAGGTGGTATTCTCATAAATTCTGGCAGTGAAAGATAGAGGGACAAAAATATGCGAAAAGTGAATGACTGGCAAAGTAGATGCTGTAGGCAGGAGAGATATGGCTTCTGGAAGTGCAGTGCTCACTTCTTAGTGAGAAGACTGCTGGCTACAGATTGTCTGCATCCCACAAAGACTGGGAAGAATGTTTTTGGTAGTATCATGGCAAGTGTGCTCAAGAGGGACTTAAACTTAATATTTGGGGATTTGGAGATGATAATTCAAACATCAGACCAAAGGCAAAATGTAAACACAAGTATGTAAATTGTAGAGGAGAAGTTGAGGGAGAGAATGGGATCCATAGGAAAACTGAAAGTAAAGTAATAGGTGACAACAACAACAATAAGAATCTGGGCTTGTTCGCTTTGTAAAGATAAAGACAGAGGGGTACTACGATTGCATTTTTCAAATACTTAAAGGGCTGTCGTAGAAAGGGCAGGCCTATTCTCTGCTGCCCCAGTGGATAGGACCAGATCTAATGGTTTAAAGTTACAGGAGAGTAGATTTTAAGTGAACATTAGAAAGAACTTCTTGACAATAAGAGTTGTTTGGCAATGGAACCAATTGCCTAGAGAGGTGATGGGTTCTCCTCCTATGGAAGTATTCAAAAAGAGGCTGGACAGCTACCTGTTAGGGATACTTTAGCTGGAGATTGAGCAGGGGATTGGACTTGATGACTCAAGCGATCCCTTCCAACTCTAAGAGTTTAGGGTCCAAAACTCTGCAGAAATAATTCAGTTTGAGAC